AAAGTCTCAAAGATAACAAAACGAAAAGGCAGGTAAGAATCTGGATCATCAAGAATAGCCTGATCAGTATCTTCCTTTGATGACACATAAAAAGAACAAAATATATCAAAATGTCTGTCAGACACTACATAATACAAATCGTCTCCAGTAGTGTGAAAAGCTGTATGGTCATAAAAGTATAAAGCTCACAAGAAGAACCAGTAAAAACTGCCATAAGAGGACAGTATCGGCAGTTTTCAAGAATATTTGTTGTAGGTAAGTGTCACTAGAATGTAGATAAAGCTGAAGAGCAAGATCTTTTATTTTGACAGTCACAAGATGCAAACCACAGATCCTCAGAATGAGAAAAAGAAGCATAAGTAGAAAGTGACATGAAGCAGAGCCTTCAATAAAAAACATCTTCAAAGTCCCACCAAAGTATGTGCTGTTTAAAACTTTTTAATCCAGTTTCTCAGTTTTTCTTTAGGATAAATAACATCATGAAGTTTAAAAACATTCTGTATGGTTCTGCTTCAGATAACTTACAAAATAAAATCTTGAGTTAAATGATATAAATTTTACTAACACTTGTCTGGGATAAAGTAATAGAAAAAATCAAACAGCTCACCTTTAAGCGATTGACTAGATGGAAGGCAGCTAGTCAAGAGCATTCACCACGAGCTCTTTAGTTACTCTAATTGAATAGAGATTTGATTGTTACTCTTAAACTCCATCATGGCTCAAAAATGTGGGCTGTGTTTTTGTGACAAAAATACATGATCTACAAACCCTTGGATTCACAGTCTAGCACTTAACCACTAGAATGTGCCCAGCCTTAATCCAGAGAAGATAAACTATTAAATAAGAAGCTTTCCTGGAAAGTACCCTCACCACAAGCAGGAATCAACACAAACTCTAAAATTGTAACATAAGGACAAAAAAACTGGTAGATGGCACACGATAATCAGTCTGAAACTTCCCACTTCACATGTGAATAAGCAAACATGGGTTCAGTGGTGCACAAAACACAATCCGTGGAAAATGGCTAATCCAATGCATGTAGTGGTCTGATAAGTGCCATTTCACTTCATTCTGTAAATGGTAAAATAAAAATTTTGATAAAAGCAGCATTTTTGATCTGATAAACAAGGATGCCACAATATCCCATGCTCATACTATCCAATTTGAATAACACAATGAAGATAAATTTTAACGTAGAAATCAAAGCAGAAATCCTCTTCCAATGTCCGAGAACAAACTGCAGACCACGTAAACTGGATACAATTGAGCAAAATATTTTCAAGCATCTGTTAGGAGTTTATAATCACACTCAACCTAGACTATTGTTACAATAAATGATGGATGAATCCAATTTCAGGTAAAGGTTATAATGAAGTGGCTTCTCACTATCAAATTTTAAACCTTTAATTTTGTTCTTGTAGAAATGTAATATTTGCAGAGAAGTTTACTCTATTTTTTCTCAAGGATAACTAAGAAAATTCCATATTGGTTTTTTAATATCTATAGCAAGTTTTCTGCAAACAATAGCATTTAGTAATTAATAATATCATTTGAGTCTTATATCAGTATTATCATTCATCAGGTTTAAAATGTTATAATATATATATATATATATATTTGCTGATACTTCAGACACATTTTGTATTACTCTTAAATGGCAAATTAAATGTGATTCAAAAAGTGACTTAAAACTGGAATTTCAGGGTAAAAATTGGAAACAATATAATCCTTCATGAAAATGTTAAAACAATGTACAATAATTATGCATGCCAAATACTTAAACTATAATTTATCCTGTATAATATTGTTTATGTCGTTTTGGAATAACAATTTCAATTCAGATAGTGTTCATTTTGCTCTAAAAGTGCTTTCTATGCTAAGATTCATGTCTTCTCAAAAACAAAACCAACAACAGAAAATTATGTATAAACGAATTTTAAAAAATGTGATGCAGTCTTTATTCCCTTTACAGCTATCTGTGATAATGTTACAATAACTCAGTTTATGATTGTTAGAGTAGCTTACAGGTACTGCTAGTCACCCATAATATTGATATAAACCATATTAATGCTAATTTATTTCTCATTACAAACCTAATGTGGAACATAAATTTTAAGGTAATTATACCAAGTGTACTGAATAAGTAAAATATAAAATTAGTTATGGTAATTATGAATGGTAGTGTAGCCATTCTCTATTTCCATAACTCTATTTTCCTCTTAAAAGTTGTAATTTACTAACATAAACATAAAAGGGTTAACTTTATCTAGCCATAAAATCAAAATTAGATATATAAATGACCTGAATATTACACTAAAAAACACACACAAGTTATATATGGACTATATTAAATGTATTTCTATTTATTTTATAAACATCAGCAATAAATTGATTAATAATATTCAGAACTTGGTTGCATCATTGTTAAAATATTATCGAATGACAGCATATTAAAAATGCAGGTAAAATTTGTTTACATGTCAAAATATTTCAGGTTTGTTTTTTTTAAACAGAGAAACAATATTTACCTAAATTCAGAAATTGTCTATAATAAGTTCACAGCTAGAAATATTTATAAATAATCCAAAGACAAATCATCATGGAGATATTCATGCATTTTTTTTTAAACCAACACATGACAGCTACACCAAGTTATTTTTTAAAGTTACAAACTTCTATACACACAAAATTGGAAATAATAAATGAATAAAAATCACACAGAATATGATCAAGAACCTCAAAAAGAGTATACTGATACTGAATGAATGGTTTAAAACTTAGCCTCTGACAGTACCAAAATGAAGAACATTTCTAGCATTGGGTTAGTTACTGGTATAAAATATGTATTTATCTTCCAAATAAAAGAGCAACTGAAGAACTTTACAATAACATTAACTTATCCTGAATAACTACTATAGTTACAACAGTTTTGTTTTCACAAGTATCAAGCATTTAGATTCTTGTAAAAACATCAATTTGGTAAAATACCCTAACAGATCTCAACCTATGGTTAAAACTTAAATGTTAGGATACTGGTCTAGTTTATATTTATAAAGTAAAATCATTATTCAACTTGAAAGCTATTTCTGGAATTATCTAGCTGGCTTATTAAATATATAGCAAGATTATAAATAAATGAAAGTATAATTAATTAAAATGGTGGACAACTCCAAAACAATTCACAAAGAAGATTATAGTATCATAGTGGGTATGTAGGTCATATCTCAAAATTAATCAACCTTCTATCTTAACTATGCTTAAGTATACTTCTAGCTATCACACCTGTAATAACTTCCAATTCACAAAGAAGATTATAGTATCATAGTGGGTATGTAGGTCATATCTCAAAATTAATCAACCTTCTATCTTAACTATGCTTAAGTATACTTCTAGCTATCACACCTGTAATAACTTCCAATTCACAAAGAAGATTATAGTGCTATGGTGAGTGAGTAGGGCATATCTCAAAATTAATCAACCTTCTATCTTAACTACACTTGAGCTATCACATCTGTAAAAACTTAAACTTTTTAGATTTCTTCACATGACATAAAACATTGTTTTTGTGTTTATTCTATATGTATACATGTAATGCTGTAACAGAATTTTCATGTTTGGATGATTGAACATGGAGTACAATTTTCATGCAGGTTATTCATAACTACAATACTTGGATCCACTTTAGTAAAGGTGTATCTTCTTGTAAGAAAATTTGTTCTCATATGATACTATCATAATGAACAGGTTTATTTTTCCTAAATGAAATATAAGTGTAACTCTACACATAATCACATTACTATTTCTTTACAAAATAAAAGTGAAAATATTCAAATGGTTTTTCTCTCTCTTCATAAATTACCTAGATTTACAAATTTCCATTAGTCTGTAAGGGTTAGAACCACTAATAAATATCAATTCCTCTTTCCCTTCTGGTGTTCTACCTGAAATAAAAAATAAATATTGTTAATCTACATTTTCAATACATGTAGACATAATCATATGAATCAAAAACACTAAAATATTCTTTATAACAAATGAACCATTACAAAACAAAAATAGTGATGTTTGCTAAGGAAAATGTATCCCTGTATTATGACTATAGCAATCACTTTGATACATTTATAATACTTACTTTCTTCCTGAGTTTTACATATTTATTCCACCAAAAACCTCCCACTGCATCAATTTACATATAGCTAAATTATTTATATCAGAAAAATAAGCAGGGAGAAGAGAGAAGCATTAAACAATGAAAAAGGAAGAATTTATAGTGAAGTAAATGATTTGCTGCATTAAGCAATATACAAATAATTAATAAATAATTAAGCTGTGAAATATTTCATCACACAGACCTGCAACGATCTGTATGTAATGTAGAAGCTTCATTAATAAAGCAGATTTTCATACAACATGCTATATACATGTTAAGGTAACACCCATTAGAAAGTAATGCTTTATATTTTAAAAAGTGGAAGCAAGGTCTCTCAACACCAAGTAAATTAATAATAATTTCTCAGAGTAAGCTACCAACATAGACCAGGACTACAAATTTAGTAGTTTAAGTCAGTTAAAGTCAGTAATTCAGAAGTTGACATTTTACATATGTAATCTGGAGAAATGTACTAACATTTTTTTAGATAACCTCCTTTGCTCGATCTCTGTTGGCTAAATAACTGTTTCTTATCAGATGATGTTTGGGATTTTTATCACCATCTTCATAACTTGTTTTTGCCCACATATAAATATTTCAAGCTGATTGGACAAGATGAATTGATAATGTAAGAATATTTCAAGTGACTGGGAAATATGTCATGACCTTGGAAGAAATTTATATTCTGGGCAATCTGACTACTATCAGGTAAAAAATTCAGTTCAACTTGAAAATACTTGGAATATAACTATTCTACTGTAGAATTTTTATAATCCAATTCATTAAGAAGTAAAATACATAAGCAGTCATAGATATTTATATATATATATATAACTTTGTATTGAAAGCTTTAAGCAAAATACATACATCCCAAAAGATGAACCTTTATATACAATGTTAATTTTCCTAAAGCTCACCTTCTTCAGTTTGTATCCACAAACGATCAATAAAGTAATCTAGACAACTCTCAATTTCCTTACGACTGTAATTTTCAACACAGATTGGTATGAAGGGTTCAAAGAGCTCAAATCCCTGTAATAAAAGCACCTTAGTCAACAAGAACTAAAACGTGCACTGCATGCTGTAAATCTAAAATTCACAATAATGATTTAACCTGTAAATAAGTATTCAAACAAAATTTCATTCAAAGTACATTAATATAATTTTTTATTACGGTTTGGATGGGAGAAACCTCCATCCTTATGTGAAAGATCATGATGTGTTTTTCGTGTGATTTTCAAAACTTTTCTTTGTGTTGTTAATAAATGCATCAAGTTTCTGTTGTTCAGTAGGACAAGTTGTGTTCTCAGAATTTATAGCAGCAATGTTCTTTTCAAGCTTGTCTATTATGAATTTGCAAAAGTCTTGTGAGATTTTCGTAAGTGTAAGTGAGGTGGAATGAAGAATTTTCTTCCATTGTGAATAAAACAGTTTGTCGTTGGCTTCTATGGTAATAGGTTGACTCAAATTAAGGGATTTAGGTATAGTTTGATTCTATATAGGTGCTGTCCTAGCACATCGGCATGGTACATATACATCAGTCTTTTTTCATTGAGTTTTCTGAGTAGTTTGAAAGTCTTGCTTGAGTTTAAACTAGAGCGCACCTGGGCAGCTGTGGTGGAGGGAGTGTTTATTTCAAGGAGAATACAAGGTTTTGCTTTGTGACAAGGAGAAGGTTCAGGTTCTGTTAGGTTTAGGGCTTTGTGAAAAGTGATGATATTCTTCAAAGGTTGTAGAGGATTCTGCTTATGGAAGAAGAAAAGCCTCAGAGGTTGTGAAGTTTGGAAGGTTGACTTTATTTTTGCTTAAAAAATATATAAAATATTTCTTTTACAATGTAACAATCTTAAGAGTCAACAAAATAATACTACACAACTATAATCAATGCTTAAAGTACATACAGAAAAACAATTCTGTAAATTATCTTGTGTTTTTTGTTTTATTTTTAAAACTGGAGTTTAAAATGAGATAACCCAAGTTTTCAAAGTTTTAAGTTTCAAAAAACTCAAACAATTGAAGAGTAAAAGGGTAACTCACCTCCTGACCCAACAAATACTTAGGCATGTGTGAATCCCTGTAGCCTACAGGTGAAGCTATTTCATCAACAGTTACTACAACTGCACCATGATTCTGCATTAAAATAATATAAATTCATGAATAAGTCTCTCATAATTCATATTTCTGAGTAGATACTTCATATATTCATCAAAACTGTACATATGTATATATATATATGCAAATAAAATGGAAAATGACATAGTTAACTTCATTAATAAAAACAGGAAAAATTGTGTTGGTTACACAACATACCATCAAAAAACTACAAAACATGTTCCTTAATTATATTGGTTGTGGCAGTACTTTGACTCCAAAGTATTAACACTATCGTACAAATATAACATTACAAACTTGTAATTAAAATCTTTTATCAGACTATACTTCCAACTTTTCCTTATGTGTAAGTATCAAAAGAAAGTACTTAAAACTAAATAAAAAACTAGTTTCTTAATGCTGATTCCTTATGCTTGTAGGCTGATCTACAAGAAATTGCCCTAAAGTTGATACACATTTCACAAGGCTAGTATAATATAATGAAACACATTACAATGACTTAACTGTGTGAAGCATGTATTGAGGATTAATTTTTACAAAACTTTGCTACTATTAGAACTATCATTCCTTGTTACTCTTACTTAATCTGATTTCCATGATCACGCACTACTGCCTAACACTGCAATTATAACAAGCTTCTATGAAGGGTGTAAAGTCAATCTTAGACCACAATTCTTGACAAACTTTCCACAGACACCATCACAAGTGGACATCTGCTTCCAAAACCATACTTAATTAAATCAAAGACAAAAAAGTCCATTGCAGCTGTATTAAAGGGACTTAACCCTTTCGAGACACGTCACAGGTGAAAGGCCATGTCATCTTGTTTGTTGACTCGCATTCAAAATTTTATTGAACTTCTATTTCATGAATTTATGTCAATAAGTTTGGTATCAAACTGTAGATTATAAATAAAATTTTAGTACTATACATTACTCAATTTCTTAATTTATAAGTAAATATTAAAAAAACACAGATAAACATCGATTTTTGTGTGTTACGTGGTATATTGAATGCAGCATTGGTTCAAATTAGATGTTTGTGAAGTCAAAATACTAAATCTATAGTTTCGTAGGAATTAGAAACTCAAATTACTGATATTAACAAGCTAGAATATAAAATAAGAAGGTATTATCTTTTCTATATGCTAAGATATTGCTCATGTAATAAATCATACACAGTGGCACCCCGCCCATCTCTTCCCATTTTTGGAGACGCTCCCTTATATACACTTACTTTTATATATGACATGAATAACCAATTGGAAGCTCAGAATGTGGTTTTGTCAGCCGTTTTAACAGGCTTGCAGGCCATTTCTTTCTTTTGAACCAATATTTGAACGAGGTAGGGGTGTTTCTTTAGTCTGCTCGAAATTTAATATTTTTTTAGACTAAAATACATCTTAGTTTCTAAGCTTCATAAATTATAGTGAAATTCTATGGTATTAATGTAGTAATTTATGATTTTTTTTAGTTACTCAAATGTATATATAAACCCTAAAAGAAATAGTTTTGTTTCATATCCTTCAAGTGCAAAATTTTTGAAGGCTTAGCAACCTATGTCAAGCAGCAACCGAGTACAAAGCTTGTAATAGAAGATATAATTGTTTGCTTTACTTCTATATTTACTGTTCTATGTTTTAAGAAAAATAACTTAAAACTTATTTCAAAATAACAATAATCTATATACATATATAATAATTGAAATGTGAATGTATTTCACAAAATACTAGTCTACTAAAACACAGCCAAGACAAGTTACTTTATACAGACCCAAGGTCAGTTTTATGTTATTTGATACAGTAACATATGAGTGCATGTGAGCCACGTCATTGTAACTTCTGTACTGTTAGCCAGGCATAGCTGAGAGGTCAGTATAATATAAATAATAAATATTTATAATTGTATAATGTTATGAGATTTAAGCTATTTAGTCTAAACATTTATGTTTTCATGTTACAATTTGTGTTCATTCTAAAATGAAAAAGGCATAATTTATATTTGTTTCCTAATTTTTTATGGTGTTGGAAAGATTGGTCAAATCTACCAAACCCGTACAGAGATTAATTACTGAAAATAACAGATCAAATATAAGGTTTTTCTTAAGAAACATTTGATAACTATCTGGACATTATAAAGATTTTGTATGTGAAATTCGAAAAATTTTCTGATGCATCAAAGTATTTTTTATCTTAAAATGAAAATTACTTTGCATGATAGATAGGCAACATGTGAAAAGAAAAAAAAAAGCATGAGAAAAACATTGCTTTGCAAACCTTAAGACTTAATAAGAAAATTTGATATTTTGTGTATGAAAGCATTGTAAAGTGGACTGATAATCTACCAGATTTCGTTAACATTTGCTTACTAATTTAAAAGTTATAGCATGAAAACTATAACAAGCACAGAATGGTTATGAGGTGAGTCCCAGGGACCAAGCCTGTGCTGAAAGGGTTAAAAGGAATGTGCTGTAATTCAGTTACTTCATGAAAACTGCCACTAAGTACAAGGAGTAATTTGAAATTTTGGATTGTGAGTTTTTTGATTACTTTGATAACTCATTGTTTATTATCTTGTTCATGATACCAGGAGATAAGTCAAGCTTCATCAGAATAGTTTTTTGGAAGTTGGAGTTTTTTTGTATCTATGGCTATCACATTTAGAATGAAGGCTTTGCTCCAGATCAATTTTGGGTGTGGTTTTTGGGCCTGTTGCAATTTTTGCACTTTCACAGGATATGTAGAAAATTTTCGTTTTTGAAATGTTGTTGTGCCAAAGTTCCCAACTATAGTAACAAGTTACTACATTAACATCTGCAGTTTATTCTTATAAGGTATTATTAACTCTCTGTAGATAGCTTAACAAGTAACATTACAGAATTCTTTGATAAATTTCAAGAAAGAATCTATACAGTACGACTAAAATATATACATATCATATACCAAATAATACCTACTGCTCAACTAGCACACATGTATAAAATGATCAATGAATATCTACATCATAAAGCAGCACAATACCTACTGCTCTAACTAGCACACATATGTACAAATTGATTAATGAATATCTACACAATATCTTTTAATATTTTTTCATTTTTAGTTTACTTACTGATTATAAGTATTATTTTATTACAAGTTACAGCTTTCACAGTAAGGGAGATTATAATTTACAACAGGTACAGTATTTCAATCACTGATGCATTCTTGAGTATTGAAGTTTTAGTAGAAAATAAGGTTTTAGTATTTAAAACAACATTCTTTACTGCTAAAACTTATGTACTTGAGAATGATCGCACCAATGATTGAAACACTGTACCTGTTGTAAAATATAATCTTCCTCACTATGAAAGGTGTAATTTGTAATAAAATAATCCTTTAACATTATTACATAAACTTACATAACTATAATGTTGTATGTTACTGTATAAAAGTACTTCACACTTTTATAAGATAATTTAGATAACAATACTACAGCTAATATTTATAATGAAAGCACAGATAACATTAACCAACTCACCCAATCATTTTTCAACAGTTTTTTAAATGCTCTAATTAAGGTTATCTCATCAGCTGGAACCTTCACAGAGAATAGAAAAAATAAGATAGAATTTATTTTTACACATGAAAAAACTACGAACTAGGTTTATTCATTTTATACACTTCAGACAGAAAAAAATGTGAACAAATACGTTGGTAATGATAAATAGTGCATAAAAATGTCCAAAGTTAATAATTTTAGCATTATTTGCTCAATCATTAAAATATTAATATATTGACATAAAATTAACGAATTCATAGTGTCTGAAATACGTCTCAGAAGTCAGTTTTTACGTTTTAAAGAAACAGATAGAAGTATTTTACAATATGAGCTGAAATATAATAAGGTCAGTCTTGTAATATGATTTTAAAAATTTCACTTCAAGAAAACCCAAAGGGTTCAAACTATATGTGATCTATTAAAATATACCAGAAAGAGTTTTTCCTTTGATCACTTATGATTAAATTTGAGTCTACTAAATTGTATATATATACATGTATATACTTATATCATGAAAAATAAATTAACATGCAAAAGAAAGACCTATTGTAAGGATAACTCAATAATGTATCTCTCATTTACACACTTATTTAGTGAAGACTAATAATTATTATTTTTATTAAAATGAAAAATTAATGAAACATACAATCTGGTATCAATTTTAATGCCTTCACTATATGTATAATTCTAAAATGCTTTTCCTTCATAAATGAAGTAAGTGTTCAACTGTAGTTACTAATCTGTGAATTTGAATAAAAATGTATACAAATAACTCACAGAGGTATGCCAGTTATATCTGAGCCTTAGGTGCTTACAAAACTACAGGAAAATGTTCTTGAGCTATGGTAACTACAAAAGGATGAACATCTATGCCTTACTTCCCCTTCTTTCACCACCATAGTGTTCTATATGATGGTGGTATGGACTATTACTCTTTAACAAAATTTCTACTTCAAGAGGCATTTGAGCAATGCTTTGAAGTCAATGTTATCCCACTCTTCTTTAAATACTTTCCAAATTTCATTGACTTTGCATGGACCAATTTCAGCAACCCCAAAGTACAGAAGTTTACAAGAGATACCTACAAATGAAATCCCATTTGTAAATAAATCTTATAGAGGAACTGGCATGTTGACTTGGAAAAGTGGTTGGATGCTTTGTCTTGATGAAGTTGTATTTTATTGGCATCTAATCTGTACAAAAATAGTATTTCTTTAAGGTATATTGGTGTCAGCACATTAGATGATAGTATGCAGAATTAACCTTGACATGTTTCATGACTCTCTGGATGCTTACCTGTTTACTAAGTCTGTAAATTCCAATCACCATAGATCCTTTAGAAAATTTTTCACAAAATATTCTGTACCTTACTTTAGTTGAAACAGAGGTACTTACTTTAGTTACAATGGAGATTCCTACTTTAGTTGCAATGAATGTGCCTACTTTGGTTGCAATCGAGATCCCTCCTTTAGTTTTAATCAAGGTCTTACTTCAGTTGCAATGGAGGTCTCTACTTTAGTTGCAATGGTGTTTCCTTTTTTAGTTGCAATGGAGGTCCCTACTTTAGTTGCAATGGAGGTCCCTACTTTAGTTGCAATGGTGGTTACTTTTTTAGTTGCAACAGAAGTCCCTACTTTAGTTGCAACAAAGGCCCCTACTTTAGCTGAAATAGAAGTCCGTAATTTAGTTATAATGAAGGTCTCTACTTAAGTTGCAACGGAAGTCCTTAATTTAGAAACAATGGATGTCTGTACTTTAATTGCAATGGAAGTTTCTAATTTGGTTCCTACTATGGTTCTATGGTTCCTAATTAAGTTTCAATTCAGATCACTACTTTAGTTACAACAGAGGTTCCTGCTTTAGTTGCAACAGTCTGCCATGTGCTTCAGATATTTCCAATAATAAAATGACTTACCTTTCTTCACTAACTTCACTATGCAACCACTAGTCAATTGTCAACTATCTTGTTTTTACCTAACTGGAATCATGCCTTCAATTGCTACAGATATCCCTTTCTTAAAAATGGTAAAACTTTCATGCTTTGCATGCTTTTATATTGAAATAGAAAACTTTGTGGCAGTATGTTTTGCAATGCAAACCTCATGGAAGAGCTGATTTTAGGTGACATCTGTATTTATAAATTGTAATACTTCAACTGAATTGCAATAAGAAGGTCAGGATTTTTAAAGCGTGTAGTCACAGACCATTGGGATGGCCAGACACAATGTAATTGGAAATGCAAATTGTTACTACAGATCATGAACAATCCACTGCATAAGTACTATTTTTTACACAAATACCAATACCTGAACTTTAAAGTAATATTGGTTAATACACAGTTTATTTTGTCAAGGCTCAAAAAGCTATTGAGTAAACTTACGATTACTTTGTTTTCTCTTTTAACATCGGTAGGCCTGAAGAAGCAGTTGACTCCATCTACAGCCACAAAAGTAGTAAACCTACCAATCACATACAGAAAAATATGGTAATTTACTTTAGATATGCCCAAAACAAAGATCTTACAGTACAGCCAACAAATTTTAAGAGAAAGACTGTTTTTTATCTTATGTCTAATTCATAATAATTTTATAAATCTATAATTACATTCACTGCTTAAATGTAAGCTGTAAGCAATTTTGTACAGATATTATTATTCACCGACTAATTGATTACTTTTGAAAAATTCCCACTCTAAGGAAATTAACAGTAACATCTTACAAACAAGTTTTATGGAATCTTAATCATATATGTTGGTTATAGTTTGTTTTTTCTTCTTGTCAATAGTTGTAGCAAGACTAAATTAGCATCAATTTAATAATAATGTAAAAAATTTACTGAAAGTGCCCCAAAAGTACATCTCAAGAATTTCTTGATACAAGATGATCTGGAAAATGAGAAAGCATACTTTGAGTATCTAAATCTATATACAAATTAGCAGTATGTAAGTGTTGAGTAATGTTTATTGCTGATATCATGTAATAACAATCATTAGAGATTCTGACAGAGATAGAAAAGATAATGACAAGACAACATTGTTTTTACTTCTTTAGTACTGTGAACAGAAAAAGAGGTCTAATTTGTGTTCTTGAGCATTTTTTCCTGTTTTCTAATCCAAACTGATTAAAATTTGGGTAGGTGTAGCTTCCTCCTTTTCTTTACTGGAGAAGAAGAAACACTGTGGAATTTAGAAAACTGGTTAACTAGAGACAGTTAACCATTATCTGTTAACTCCTCAGAACACATCTCACACATTTGTCTCATGCAATAGAAATACAAATGAATTGTAATAATGCAGGGAAAGTGAGCTACAAATGTTTTAATAATGTACAACTGAACAACCTATATTTATTAGTGCCTTATGAAAAAGGAAGGCTCACCTGAAAGATAATGCTCAAGTATCTTGTTGAAGTATGTCAGTGTATGTTATATCAATTGGACTTTTTTTTATTTTGAAAGGAACTAGCAAAAATAGTGCAGACTCATGGGATTCAACATGAGTATGAAATTATATATCTAGAATTAGTTTAAAAAAGACCAACTAAGTGAAGAAAATCCCAACCATATCACACACACGATTAGGTAGATAAACTAGTTTTTTTTAATTGTGTAGTTTTCTTTATTATTTCATACAAAAGTGACAAAATAATTTATCTCATTAAAGTATAAACAGAAAATTTGTTTTTGAGAAACAGAAATTTGTAGAGGAAATATTTAGTTTCCTAATTCAAAGTTGATGACCAAGATCTATCCCACTATCATTTCTTGAACAGTATCATAGCTATTTTGTTAACTCCCCCATATAAAGTAAACTAGGCTTAACATTTATCTCTAGTAATAAAAAACTTATCAGGAACATTTCTAATCAAGGTGGGTTAAACTCAGCATTTTGAAAGGTAGTAGTAAAAATAATAAAAATTTTGAAAACTTAAAGTTGTAACTATAAGTACAACAGATGATGTCACCATGGTATTTTTTTAAATTTGTCAAACAAAAACAGAAAGTCCATCAAAGCTTAAACAAGAGCACAATTCTTCAATTTGACAAAGAACAATAAAAGTATCAAAGAACAACTCCAAAAAGGACTTCAGAGATATTCCATTAAATAATATTATTATTATTTCTTCTTTGTATTAACTCATGCCTACACTGTGTGAAGAATTTTCTGTAAACCACTAACATCCTGATGTGTTCACGTGGTCATTTTTGAACCAGAATAAACACAACTGTAGCAAGATTGTCTAACGTCACAAGTGACACATGAAATAAAACTGATGACATGACCATTTGGTAGATAGTTGCAAAATAAAAATAGTATTAAGCAACTAGTATTTGAATAAAAGAATATTGTGAAAGTGAACATCTCATTTCTGTTAACAAGAAAACTCACAGTATGTGAGTATTTGGACAAGAATTAATATTAGTTTTCATCTATTCATCAAGTATCTACATCATAGAGTGATGTTAAACAAATCTAATTAGAAAATTGAGAAGGAGGAAAAATAAGTACCATTAGAGAAAGTGTGTTGACAACTGCTTTCACATTTACTTCTTTAGCAATTACAAAAACTATTTAAATGTACTTTGAAAATAAACAAGTGTTTCATACAAGTTATAATATTTTCTCAGTTAGAAATCCTTTAGAGCACATATTTATTGTTTTTGACAAAAACAGATGAAACCACTGGGGAATATACTAACATTCCTTTTTGAGAATACTCTCTCAGTTCCTTCAGTATGACAGCTACACAATCAGAAGCATGCTTCATCCTGTTGATTCCCTGAAACAGAATCAAAGTAGCAGTTAGTGCTCATTTTAACAAATGCTTAAAATACAGAAAGAAGTAATGCAAGACAGGGTGCCAAGTATACAGTTCAAAACTGCCGTATAATATCGAGGTAATGACTGCAAGAGGTAATAATATGTTGGCTTCAAACCTCCTTATCTTGGATAATCATTCCAAGTCATTGTTATTCACCACATATTTTAATTCTCACTAGATGAATTACCCTTCAACTTACTGGGAAGACACATGTGGTTCAGGTCAGAACACCAACCCCTCTATGTCGCTATTGATTCATTTGTTTCAGAATGTTCATGCCATGCTACCCATCACTAACTTTGCATGTGCTAGGTTTGGTAATAACTGGTCCAGCAGTTTGCCACTTATGAGCAGGCATAACATATGGGGATGACACAGTGGCCACTGGGAGTTGATATAGGGGGATCATATCTAAGCACTGGCCTCCCTTTGGGTACATGCCTGGTGTGACAATTGACCCAGCACTTGACAGCTTATAAGTGGACACAAACACACACACAGACTTTTGTCAAATAATAATGCTCATACAATGACATACAAAAACAAAAGAATCCCAGACAGAACTGAACTGGCTTCTTTCTAAAGATAAAAAAATCTTGCTTTCCTTACACCAACATCATGGACAAAAAGTCTTAAATGTCAGCTGAGTGACTTTTCCATTAAAAGGAAGTATAAGATGAAAGAGCTTCTAGAGACGTACAAGTTGTCATCTGAGTACTTTAATAATACACTTATTATATTTAATATACTTGAAAATGCACATTAGGGTTACAAAATGGTGTGGTTGCTGCTTTGTTCCATAGTCACAAATAACTTATGTGTCTTGGACCACGTCAGTAATATTACAAAATGATCTTACTATTTTAAACAGGTCAAAGTTAAGTATCTGATTCTATGACAAGGAACCCACTTTGAGACTAATAATGGTTGGAGACAGCTTGAATGGGTAGTGAAGAAAAACTTTAATATAAGTTTAACATAACAGCAAATGCAAAACTTAGAAGAGGTATCTTAGCATATCTC